ATGTACTTTATAATTAATTTAACAATGCTAAGTTACGAACAAGTTTGTTAATAACAAGTGACCCACATGGGCTTGTCATTTGTAAAATTATATGAAAAAATTAACTCTTATCTCGATCATTTGTATGGTTTATAATTAATCCCTTAACTGTTGAATAAAAGTTACGAGATTCGCTTCCCAATGCCACAGTTTTCCACGTAAGCATACGCATGTGATGTATTGAGGGTAAGGGGAAAAAAGGAATAAATAAGCAAATCTCCTGAAATAAGTAAACCCTTCGCAAACACTTATTGCATTTCAAAGCCTTCGGAATAATTTTATGGATAGCAGTGCACAGAAAAGATCAAACTTCGGAAAGACGTATATATACGTCCGGGGAAATTAACGCTTTGACTGAGTGAAACGTTTATATACGCCGGTGTCACTTAAAATGATAAAGTCGTATTTTAGTTTTAGTGTGAAAGTATTGTATTATTGAATTCAATACATTGTTATTGTATGGAGAGGGACGCGATGAAAATTATGATTGAATATTAAATCATAAGTATTGAAAGTTTGAGAAGCACTGCAATAACCCTTATATTTTTTAAAAAAAGAAAATTCTTAAAAGATATGAAGCAATCATCTATGCGAAGTGTAAGAGAAAAAGAAATCAAGATAATTTGTGAGTCTTGCAAGATATTTATATTATTTTAGAAAGTTATATATTAATGAATCATGTACCCCAGAATGATCTTTGCTTACCATGTATGGAACAATTTCTTAATTTTTAAAAACGATCGTTTAATTCTTAATCTAATCAATATTAGCCAGCAAACGTATTTGATTAAATTTCTCATTCTTTCACAGTAAACTATAAATTTGCATGTTAAAGTTAAATTTTAAGCTAAATGATAATTTACTTTTCTCAAAAATGTATCGATTGTTCTTTAAACTTATTGCAAATAATTTCTAAAAATGGGTACAATTCAACTTCTTTATTTATTGTGAAAGAACTGAACTATATATATTGAAAGAAGTTTGTTCGATATTTTTATTACTAACTCTGAAGGAAAGACATATGAATGTTTTGTTTCATTATCCAATTTTCTTCAACTTACTTTTCATTTGAATCAGTGATTACCAAACTTTTTTAACCCATGGACCCCTTTTTCAAGTCAAAACTTGCCCAAGAACCCCTTTTAATTGTCAAAATACGCATGGACCCCTTTTCAAGTCAAAGCTTTCCCACGGCACCCTCAGTGAAAAAGTTACTTAAGTGCATAGTATAAAAATAAAATTTTTAAAAAAAACCTTTTGTTGAAGAATAATTTATTAAAATTATAACTTTTCTTTAAAATAAAATTAAAGAATAAATAATGCCTTGGATAAACTTGAGGAGATGTTATGTGAGTGTATTTATGTCTATCTTAATGCTTGGGAGTATAGCAACTGGATGCAAATCCCCACAAGAACTAATTTTTAGTCGGTTTCTTACTTTTTTTGTGATGAGGTTTATAACGGCACTGAATCCACGCTCTACCAAATTGGATTACGTAAAGTGTATAATAAAGCCCTGTACATATTTGTAAAGAAAGTTGTGGAAAGGAATGATTTGAGTAATGGCTGAATAATACCAACCTGACCAATATAATGATAAATAAAACAAACGTGAACTGTACATATGAGAACAGAATTGGAGTGAGGCTACAACACATGCAATGTGTGTTCTTTCTCAGCCAATGGTTTAGTTGAAAGGGCAACCTAATTTATCATTAAAATCCAACAACTTATGTTATTATCCTTCTACCATTAGATATCTTTTTTGTTTCTGTTTTAAGGTAATTCGAAACGAAATCCATTCCTTTTTTCAATAAAGATACAGATAATAAATACACCATCTCCAGACATTGTAGTAATCCCGCCTCAATAAGCACTATCGGAATTTCTTCTTAAATGGACTTCACAGTTATTGCAATGAGAAGAAATCCAATACACTAACTATTCACCATTTAATAAGCGGTATAAGTCTTAATTCACAGTGAGTGATCTTAGCAAATATTAAAAAAGACAAAACCTTACGTTGTTAAAGATCAATTCCTTTTTTAAATACTGATAAAATGAACTAAAACATTACGAAGATGTAATTCAATGAAAAAACAAGTATCCAGGCTATCAAAAAAAGGAATATCATTTGATGCTTTTTTTTATTTGCAAACATTAGCGAAAGGGAACCCTTTAAGACTCTCTCAACCTTTTATTCTACTGGGTCGCATACATATGTCAGGCATTTCACGCAGGCCGCAACATAAAGATTAAATGGGGAGAGGATGCTTTAAGACCAAGATAACATTGAGAACTTAAAGTATGGAAAATTGATCAAAATGTTATAACTCCTGTTTTTTTTTTCTTTTCTTAATTTTTATTTTTAAATTTTTTTTTATTTTTGTCTCACTAACACTAAATTAAAAGAATTTAAGAAACACTCATTCCCAATTTTTGCATCAGTAAACGGTTTCATATGATTACCAATAATACAACAAACTTCTTAGAATGTCTTTGTTACTACTGTGATATTACCACTGACAAAACACTTTGTTGCTGTTGCAAAGAATATTCAATAAAGCCTATTTATCACCTCTTGAAAGAGGAAAAAAGTGATTTAATGATTCCTGTTTATTGTTTTTTTTTAAAATATAGCACTTTTGTGGCAAATCAAACAAGTACTGATCCATGTTTGTTTTTCACAGCAAAACAGTCAAACTCAATTTTAATTCGCAGCCCTACGACATCGAAAGCATACAAGCAAAATTGATATATTTGATCTTCTGTCAAGGAATTTCCCACAAAATTTTAATGCACTGCCTTAAATAAAAGAATTTCTTAGAGCAATGGGTCATTACCTGGCCACTTAAAAATACTCGGTGGGCCGCAGTTTGAGTATCGCTACCTTAAGTCATCAGATAACCTCATTACAAATTGACTCATTGAGTAAATATAAAAGAAAACGGCATCCAGTTCTATGATGTCAATTCTTTCTTTTCAATAACTTACAAAAATTAGTAGATGGCCGGAATCCACTGGATGGAATGCATCAATGTTTATAAAGTAATTCGAAAGTGACTATCTTCAGAATGAGAAAGAGGTATGCAACAAGGAAATATACGCCAACAAGGCAGGTAAGTGTTTTATAATTCTTACTATTCACACACACTCTCTCTATATTTATCTTGTTCAAATTCTCAATCGTTAATCAAATGCATTTTAAAGCACTCAATTGCGCTGAAGTTTGTATACACGCTCATTTGGGATGACAATACAGTAATTTAATTATAATTAATAAAAATTAATTGATTAAAACTAATTATTCAAAGAATTACAAATACAGCCACATTGGTATCATTTTTGGCGACTTAGTGACCAATTTGGCGACTTGGGTCAAAACTTGAAAAGGTTTTTTTCTCACATTTTAAAGCGCTCATTTGAGCTGAAATTTTCTATACACGATTGTTTTGGATAACAATATGATACTTTAATGATAATTAATAAAAACTAATCCCCACTTATTGTTGTGATTCTATCATATGTATATACATATTTATAGTAATTGTAACTGTATTTATTAAAAAGTAACTAAAAAATTTTTTGTTTGTTAATCTATTAGGAATTGATTTAAAATTTTTTTTTTTATACTTCTTGTTTATAACTAATTCCTACAAGTATTTTGAGTTATTAATTAACTGTTAATAAGTAATGCAACTGAGTGAAAGCTCTTGTATTTGGGAGAGGCCTTTAAAAATATAATTCAAATATTTTTGAAATATTTTAAATTTCGAATTATGATATGTTTGAATATTGTTCTTTACCCTCTTTTCAGTCACTAACCGATTTAACAAAGCCACTCAAGCTTTCAAGGAATATTAAAAAAAAGTATTAATCTGCAATCACCCTCTTTAAATAAAGTTAAACCAGTATATATCGACAAATATCGAAATCATTCAAAACTGAGTATTAATTAGTGCAACTCAATTGCTTCCACATTACACAGAACACGTCAGACACTTATTATTGTATTCGGATTAAATCAATTTTTACAGATTAAATACAAAAAAAAATTAAATATTTAATTTATTTATATTTTAAGGCTTGTTGATATTTTCAAAAAATATGGAAAGATTAATTATTATTTACATATAATTTTCTTTTCAAATTTATCAAGATTTGAATGTTTTTTGGGAAAAAATTCTAATGCGCTGATGAAAATCAAGAGATCATACAAAAATTTACAGTATCTTTCTGTAGATGCCTTAATTCCTTAAGTACTTAAATTTATTAACTCCAGACTAACGCATTTACAATGAGTATTACATTACTAGAATCTAAAAGTTACACGGCTACGTTCACCCATGACAGTCAAAGTATGTAGTAAAAGTAACACCATTTGAAATATATTCTATCAACCCTCTCCTCCATATACAGGATGGTTTCGTCCATATCATGCTTGCATAGATATCTTGTTCCATTATAAGCATATTTATTCTGTGACGTAAGAAACATGGCTTTTCAAGAACAACACTGTATCATTAAACATTGTCAGACTTTGGGTAAAAGACTTGTAATCCTTAGAAATGCCAGGGAAGATGTATGGTGATTCTACGATATACAGAATGAAGTTATGCAAGTAGTATCGGGTGCTTTAAAAAGGGTCGCAAATCACATCAAAGGGAAAGCCATGAAGAAGGTATTTTTCAATTCTTACTATTAGTTCACACTTTCTCCCTATATTATATATATGTATATATAAAAAATATCTTGTTCAAATTTTCAATTGTCAATAAAATATTTTTTATTCATTCACTCAAGTTAAAATACATTTTTTTAAACTTGTAGTGGATGGCACTTGATGCTAATATACAGTTTTTTCAAATATTAATTTATTAGTTAAACTTAATTATAATGAATAAATAGTAATAAACAAAAATAATAGCCCAACACCATAAAAAAGGAAAACCGCTGGTTGTGCCCCTGTAGCGCAATGGATAGTGCTTAGTTTGGACTTCTAATCCAAAGGTTGTGGGAAATTAGACCATCCCACCTGGGATGGCCTAATTTCTGAGAATGTTATTTCTTCTTGCTATAATATTTTATTGGAATAAAGTAATTTAGTTAAAGAATAAAAAGTAACAAACAAAAATAATAGTCCAACACCATATATATAGAAAGGAAAATCACTTTCTATTTTGCTACTTAATATTGTGATTCTGTAATTGTAATTATTTAAGAAAAAGTAGCAAAAATAAATTTTTTTTGTTGACCTAAGTAGAAATTGACTTTTTTTTTTTATGTTGCTTGTTTAATTCTGAACAGACAGTTCATACAGAATTCATTCCTGACGGGCAGAAGAATGATCAGGGAGCATTATATAGACATTTTACGTCATTTGAAGGATACCCTTCGTCGTAAATGGCCTCAGATGTGACTAAGTGGATAACGGTACGTTCTGCATGACAATTTACCTGTACATCGGCCCCAGATGTTCACAGAGTTTCTAATCAAAACTGATACTAAAGTACTTCCACATCCTGCCTATTCAACGAACTTATCTGTCTGTAATTTTTATTTCCATGATTGACAAAAATCTGCAGGGACGCCGTTTCGTGTCTTAGGCTGATGTAAAGCAGCATTACAGGAGTCCTTACGGGTAATTGTATAAGATGGTTTCCAGCAGTGCTTCAGGAGACTGTGCGAGCTGACAAAAGTGTATTATCGCCTAAAAGGACTATTTTGAAGGTGGTTGTATATCGGCGTTTTAAAATCTTCAAGGTAAGGAATTTAAGTCATGTCCACTTACTTTTAGACCGTAGTATGAAAGAGTAAAGCAATATAGTTTCCCTCACACAATGTTGTTGTTGTTGCTGCTCACTTCCATGTCTAGCCAACCTAGACCAAGTCCCTGATCTCACTCCCTCTCAAAAAGTCCAATTCCATTACAGGGTCCTCATACAGATCTAGTTTTGTAAGCCCTAGGTAATCAAAAATGTGTTCTGAAGATGCCTGGCAGGCAGAACTCCTAACACAAGTCGAAAAACTTTGTTTCCATCCTTAAAAGTCAAAGTTTGGAGGTGGCCACTCCAAAAACGAGTTAGAATAACTTGTTCCTGCCTGCTGCATTGAAGGGAAAGATAACCACCAGGGCGATTAGCGATGGCACTACAACTGTCAGATAGACTCACACAATAGCTCTACATGATGACCAGTGGCGTAACATACACCTTTAAAATACCCGCATTGTAGGGGCCCAGTATTCTAGAGAGCCCAAAGGTTTTGGTCTTGTAGTCCTTTGTAAGATCCAGCTTGAGACCTAAAACTTGTCTTTGCAGGGGGAGGGGTCCTTAATATTCTACGTTAAGCCACTGATGATGACTGATGTTGCATATAACTGAGTGCCGGGAGGTACAAACTAGTTCTTGAATTAAACAAAGAATAAATAAAAGTATTATATAAATCAATATTTAAGTATTATATGAAGTTAAGTCTTTCTAGAAATCAGAGAAATTATTTTAAAAAAAAGTTATATCTGAGGGAAAATGAATTTTATTAAAGAGTTTTTCATCTGAATTTAAAACAAGTTTTTATCAATACTACATCAATCATATTTTTCTTGCTAAAGGCTCAGGAAGTAATATTTCGAAAGCCTGCGTATAATTAGCTTTAAATTATCTATAATCTTTTATGATTGGTACAAAGGATCTTTCAAATAATATAAAACAGAGTAAAACATAACAAAGTTAAAAGTTGTTTCTTTTGTTTTAAAGAACGAATACTATAATTAGTAAGCAAACAAGAATAGTTTTTTAAAAAAAATATTCCATGAAATGCATCACAACACACCATTATGATACTTGGATGAAACGATGACGGACGATTAGAAAATAGTAATTATAAAAAAAATAAAATGCAGCGACGTTTTACGGAATGGATCAACTATGCCCAGGTACAGCACCTCAGCCTCGTGAAAAAGGCGGAGGGGGCTCATCTCATTCTCGGTTCGGCCTCAATAAGATAATGATCCGAATAATTTTAATCGTCAAATGTTATTCCTTAAGAAAAATTGAGATTTTAGAACTATACGTCAAATGACAACAGTGGCAAGATTACATTATTATGTCATGTCCGTTGCCCGTGTCTAGACCTATGCTTATTACTAAACATCCTCATAACTCAGTAAGCCCAAAGATGGCAGTCGGTCGAGTCGGTATATGCCTAGGTTTTTGAGATTGTGAGTCACGCTCTTTTATTTCTTACTGGTTACAATTTTCGCAAGTATTTGACTACATAAGCTGTATACTGTATAATGGTCTGAGCAAGCATCCTAGCAGACGGGTATACTGACCTTCATGTGTTCGATAGAGAAACTGTGCGAAGTCAGGGGTTCAAGGACGAGATCCTTGCATCCTATACCAAACTTTTCCGCGGATAATATGGAATAAATCTCATCTTTATGGGTGATAACGCTAACGCACCCCTCCCCCCACACAGAACTCAGTTGGTGAACGAATACCTCCTATCTAAAGGCCTTATCACACGTACACGTTGGAAGCAATTTTCCACCCAATTCCGAACAATTTCTACCTAGTTGCCATAGCAACCACTCAGAACAACCTTTTCCCAGTGAGCAGAAAAAATTGTTCTAAGTAAAAGTTGCTTGGTATTCCAGCCAATGAGGTTCTTTGGCGCCCTACGTCATAAACAAGATGATAGCTTCGGTTTCCAAGAATCAAGCTTCGGTCCACTTATCAGACATGGTGTATGATATTTTAATGATGTGTAATATTTTAACGGCATATAACATTTTAAACGGAATGCCATTTCTGTTTTCGCCTTTTAACAAAAGCGCTAGCAAATAAAAGAAATAATATTGGATGTTCGTTTTCCGAAGCAGAAAAATTGGCAAGTAATTTATCATTGTGGAGATAAAGCGTGGCTGACGTCAGAGCATGTCGTTTTGCTTACGGGAACACTTCACCCTCAGCTGCGTAAAAAATTGTCCTAAACGGTTGCTCCAAATATGCGTGTGTGATAGGGCCTTTAGGATATTCAACAACTGGAGTGGTCTGTGATGTTCTCTGACCTTAATCTAATTTAACACGAATGAGACACCCTTGGACGTTTAATTGCCACTCGAAGACCAGCTTAAACGATCATCAAGAGTGCCTTGGGGCAAGAGTGAATGCGGTTGCCATAGGGGTGGATAAGAACACTGGTAAACAGTTTGAAACACCAATGTGATAGTTGTGTAAGTGTTAGAGGCGATCATACACCCTATTAGACATATTTTTCTCTGACTTACAAGGTGTCAGTCAGCTGCTGGGCTGGACAAGCGACCATTTTCCTGATTAAGGGAGCAAGTTGTGCCAATTTTTGTTTCCCCATATATTGGTCTTATTTTGGAGGATATTCTGACGAGGTTTGGTTTTATTTGCTTTGTAATTTTTCTTTTTATTGCAAGAAAACCCCCTTTTTCCCCTTCAGTCGCCCCCCCCCCAGTGTATTTCAGTAATAATGTAATAACTTCAGTGCTTTAAAAAAGAAAGACATGAAAATTATAAACATATTCGATGTCTATACAGGGTATTTTTTCTTTAAATCAAAAATTAGGCCCATTACTACCATACAAATACAATCTCTGAAATAATATTCTTCATTTCCGATGAAGGAAGATTTCTAAGTGATCTCCTTTAATAAAAATATACCCATTCTCTCTCTTCGATAAAAACTACCAGTATTTTTTCAGTAAATCTCTTTATAGATATTGCAAGGAAGGAAACCTTATTCGGTAACAAATCACTTCCTTTCTTATCATTTTCTGAGAAAATGAGCGTTGACGACGCAGAGACATAATTCAATGAGAAAAATGAAAGAAAGTGATGCGCGTCGCTTCTGGGGAATTGCAAAGTGCTAATGGTCTAAAGACGGAAGAACGAAATCTCATGAATGTTTTTCCCCGCGGCGATCATTAACTAATATAAGGAACTCTTTTCGAGATTGGATTGTCTTGGCTATAACCTCCGCTAATCAATGCATTTTCTCTCCCAACGGAAAACACGAAAACATTGGTCTTAAAGAAGAAAAGCATCACTGACGGCCGTTTCGATATGTTGACCGTTTTCTCTCTTTAGCAACTTACAGGAAATCAATAGAGAGCAGATAACGATTTTTATGAGGTAATTTGAAAATAGTTACTTGCAGTACAAAGAAGAAAGAAAAATGTGAAAAAGACAGATCCAATATCCTTAGTAAAGGGAAGAAAGAAATTTACTGTATGAAGAAAGGCATCTGAGATTTTATAACTGAGAAATTTATCTAATGGAATGGAAAAATTGTTTGTGCATTCAATATAGGAATTAACTATTTATCAAAAAAAAAAACAGGTAAAAATTAATGTGTATGTGAAATTGTTCCGGGAAAGTCACATGTTTCCATTAAGGTGAATAAAAATACTTGATCAATTTTTTTCGTATAGAAATCTAAATATTTTAGCATAAGAAATAGGTACCTTTTAGCAGTGGTCCCCAGTACCCGGGCCTTGGACCAATACCGGCAGTGGTGTAGAGGAGAATATTAGGAGACCCTGCATAGTCAGGATGTGAGCCCCTAGTCGGATCTTGCAAAGGACTGCAAGACCATAACCTTTGGTCCCCGCAATGCTCGGGTTGCGGAGGTGTACGTTTCGCCACTGGTAATAACGTAGAATTATTGTGTGAGGGAAACAATATTGCTGTACTTATTCATACTACGGTCCAAAAATACTTGGAAAAAATGCAAATTCCTAGAAAAAATTATAAGATAACATAGATTTTGGGCTCCTTACAATTCTGCCCTCCCCCACGTGATGCGGGGGTATCATTTTATATTCACTTTTGGTGTAATTGTATTTTATTCTGAAGTCACATTTAAATAGAATTAAATTAAATTAATTAAATCAAAACAATCTAAAATATAAACAATCAGCGTTCCCCCCCCCCCTTCAGCGAGCCGCAGTAAAATTATCAGACGCTGACTGGGTCATGGCGATTAAAAGGTTGGATAGCACTGCACTATAA